TAGGGAAGCCTAGTAGCCTAACTCAGGATTGTAGATGCTGCAAAGTGCTTCCAGGCTGAGCTCTACAGTGCTGAGCACTGCAACTCCATACTCTTTTTTGATTTAGTCCTGCCCTCTTATTTTCTAGCCTCCAGCCTTAAAGCCAGTTGCCAGAGTGCAGATTCATAGCAGCATATCAGTGATTGAAATGAGTTCGTATGAGCTTCTGGGCCAATTTATTTCCACTGTTAAATATATCCAGCCTTCCAAGAGATACTGAAAATCTGACACAGCTTCTGCAAGGTCTAGAATTACTGTTGATATGCACAAATAGACTGGATTGCAACTACTTAAAGTGGGGCAAGGAGCAAAATCATCTTGCACAGTAATTTTTGGGCTTAGTTTTATATTCATGGCTGTCTCTTATGGAATTGTAATTTTTTTTTCTGTTTCAAGTTGCCTTTTGGCCTCAAGACAGATCATCCCAAATCATCGGCAGAGGAACAGCTATGGATTTTAGCCAGAAGAGAATGCGGTTGCAAGGCAACAGAAACCAGATGCAAGTCTTGAATGCAAGGCCACCTAGTTCAGCTAGACAAGGTTTGAATGTGTAATGAATCAGAACTAACAGTCTTCTTTCCATTACCCCAGGCTTATGCTAATGGCATTACTAGTGCTGAAGCAGTGCAATTAAATGGAGATGTGGCTTAAACTAGCCTGGTAAATGGGACTGCACATCATTATTCTATGCGGAATTATTCTCTTGCTAAAGGCCATACAACCCAATCAACGGGAATAAATTCATAGCCCAGTTAGATAGTTTCTGTTGGGACAAGAAAGAATAGGCTTCTGTTGCATCCTTTCCAGATATACAAGTATATAGCATACCTTGTTGTTGAACTGGGCTGTCCCTTTTGCCTTGGTTTAATCTCATTTTACTGTAACTTCCAGTTTCCTTCCACATTTTACTTCTATTGTTGTTTCTTCTCTTAATCGGTCGTGTGGTCTTGCAACACTTTAGCTGCCAGAATCCGGTAATGTAATCTTTTGTTTTTGAGTCTTCTTTTTTGTAATTAGGCCTGTGTGTTGTATTTCAGAAGCTACTAAGAGTTTCATTAAAGTTTCAGACGATGCTGGTGTGGACAGCTTGCAATCGTTACCACACCAGTTGTTTGTTTTTGAAGCAGTTTGTACATTAGTATGTGAAACATTTACATAGGATGCTACAGCAAGATAGTTATCTGTATGAATCTTCTTCCTCATCCTTTTTATGGAAGAGTGACCCAGTTATCTTGGACAAGGTGACAAATAGAATAAGCCAGAAATTTAATTTTTGTTCTCTGGGAAATTCCCAAACTTCAGAAAAGAACCTTTCTGGAACAGACCAAAATGTGTTTCAAAATGTAGTGTGGAATAAATTTCCTAAACTTTCCAGTTGAAAAGGGTGAACCGCTGCTTTATTTTTACCATTTTGAAACATTTCTGGGACTGCCAGAAGCCTTGTCTCAGACAGTCCACTTGAGCTGTCCCAGAGCCTGGCAGGATGCCTGGGATCCCAGGCCACTAAGGAGCTAGCAACGAGTCATCCAGTGCTCCTGGCTCCTACTAAGAATGTAAGACCTAGCAGAGAGAGCCAGCTTCCAGACTCTCTATGAGCCCTGGTGCGGAATGGCCAAAAGAGCTGGCAGAAAACACAGTGCGTTTCCCTCAGAACATCATCACAATTCACATGTTCTGAAGGAAGGTTTTGATTTTGGATGAATCATTACGTTTTAGTAATAAAAAATATAAAAGTATTCAGTCAGAAAAATTTCTGAGCAGCTGCTGATGCAATGCCAGTGCTTGGGGTGAATCACTAGGTGGAAGGTCACTTGGGTGTTGCAACACTGAACAGAAATGTTCCCTTGCGAGTCTGAGACTTTCTCCAAGGACATCTGCTGACCTCCCCCCCTTTTCTAGTCTGAGGGTTCAGAGCAGACTTGTCTGTTGAGACTATTGCCATGCCAAAGTCAGCTAGTACCACAACAGGCAGCCTGTTTTGCTGACTGAATCCCCTGAGCTTTTAAACAAGATTTTATAGGTACTTAGAACAACAACTGGTATTGCAAAATCCACTCCTGGATCTACAGTTTCTGTGCTCTGGTTGCCCTGGTCCTTCAAAAAGTTCTCCATGGTCTGGTGGGGCCTGCAAGAGCCTCAGTGCTGAACACAGCTGGAAAATCCTGTTGCTTTCCAAGTGGACAGAAGGGTCATAACAGTCTTCACTGTATTTTCCTGCCTGAGCATGGCAGCACCGTTCATTCTGTAGAACCAGGGGCATGGGACACATAGTTAAAAGTATATGGACAAAACACATATAAAACATACTAGCTGTATTTAATCCACTGATTTTTGTTTCCCTGCTCAGTCTCTGCAGTGAAACAGGGAAGGCCTGGACTTCGTGCAGCTGCAGTTCAGACAGAGGAGACCGGTCTTGATGATGACGTTGAGCGAGAGTCCCTAAGTCCATGGAGCATCCCTGATGACATCCAAAGAATCCTGCGTGACCATTCTGGTTCCTTCTTTGAGGTAAGGCATCTAATTACTGCAGAAGTCATTGGGGACCCTGCCTTGGGCCATTAGAAGTGAAGGCATAAAAACCCATCTTTTGTATTTGAAATATATTTCTTTATAATGGCTGGGGGATGGGGCAGCAGAGCTTCAGGTTAACATCAAACTACTGTTGGTCAAACGCATGCCAGAGGCTGGGAGAACCAATTCCCCTCATGCCTTAGGGGGGCATACTCTTGTTGCCTGGCCATAATAGGATTGCTGTGGGCTCATTTCAAGCTGCTGCCCAGTAGCTAACTGGGCCATACTCTGGAACAGTCCTATTGCTTGGAGGAAGAAAGTTAATCCAGCATATCTTTTATAATGGACCTGCTGTACATATTTGCTGAGACCAGGATAAGTTTGAAATGCTTGTGATAAGCAGGTATTAAGAGGACCATGCATACCATGGCTTAAATTTCATCCTTTTGCTCCTAATAGGGTTCTGTGCCTTATGATGATGATTGCCTTCCTCTCGGCACTGATGATATCGATAACGTATCGGAAAGCACAGGAAGTATCCTCAGCAAGCTGGACTGGAATGCAGTTGAGGCTATGGTAGCAAATGTGGAAGACAAGTGACAAGTCATGGTACACTTTCACAGCAGTTAAAGCATGCACATTATATCACGAATACAAATATAGCATAGCACATGTACACAAACATTCTTTTTGAAAGCAATGGGGAATTCTGTTTAAAGCTCAGTGGTGGATCAAGGGACTTAGTGGGAACCTGCAGAAAGTGTCTGCCTTCTTTAAAACGTTCTCTTTTAGGCTAGAGCCTAATCCTGTATTATGCAGTGGGTCTTCAACTCTTAAAGAGTTGAGCAAGCTCAGGACAGACTGTCAGCGTACAAAGGCCCTCAGCATTAAATTTATCCTTTGCATTTGCAAAGAGCCAGGGAATGGCACTGGTAATAGTGATTTGATTTGTAAAAGTCAGTGTGTGCATCCAGTTTAGATAAAGTCTGAAGGATCAGGTGTTTTCTCTGCTTTTTAATATCTCAAATTAATAAAATGAAGCTTTTTTACTTGAAGAGCACTGGTTTCTTGTCTACATTTTTAAATATTAAAATATTTGACTATTTTGAAATTTAAGAATTGTGAACAATTGGTTTGGCTTTAATAAATGCTTGTTTTTATTCAGTTACTGCATTGTGTGGAGTCACCACTATTGTGTCATTCTTGTCATAGAAGTCACAAAGCTATAGAGCTGGAAGGGACCTCCAGAGATCATCTAGCCCAAACCCCTGCCTGAAGCAGGCTCATCCCTATCCAAACCATCCCATACAGCCATCATCTAAACTCTACATAAGACTACCCTCAACCCTGACAACATAGAATTAACACCCTAACCTGCCACAGGTAAAACAGGGGAATCATGGCATCAATGTTCTCCTTCTATAAAATGCTGTCAGTATACATTCAAGAGGTGCCTGGTCAAGGGCACCCCCTGCTACAGAGGAAGACAAAAACCTCCATAGTCCATACCAATCTGACCATGCGGAAAAATTCCTGACCCAAATATGGTGATCTGTTGGACCCTGAGCAGAGGGGCAAGAACCTCTAGCCCAGAACCTCCGGCTTTGCACTTAGCAGGAGATTTGGCACACCCCAGTTGAAGTCTCCAGCCTTAGCTGTAGCCAACACACACTGCCTCTGGGGAGACTTAAAAATACCCTGACACATGTAGCAGAAAAAAGGAAGGGTGGGGGAGAAAGGGGTGGCAGGAACAACCAGCAAAGTCCAGAAGCATGAGAAATACCCATTGTAGAAAATAGGCATAGCTATGCCTAGATCACCCCTGCCTAGGGACTGTCCAACCTCTTCTCAGACACCTCCAGTGATGGAGAGCCCACAACTTCTAGGCAGTTTATGCCACTGCCTCACTATTCTCAGTGAAGACGTTTTTACATATATTCAATCTAAATTTGCTTTGCTGCAAATTCAAGCCATTGGTTCACATCCTCCTTTCTCCAGGGAGAGCAAAAAAGTGCTTCTTTTTCATGGTTCTTCCTTAAGTATTTGAAGACTATCATATCCCTTTTTAGGCACATTTTTAGCTTGCAGAAAAGGTGCTTAACTCCTCAGCCTCTCCTCATATGATTGGGCTTCTAAGCCCTTGATCATCTTTGTTGCCTGCCTCTGGGACCCTCTCTAACTTTTGCGTGTCCTTTTTTAAAATATGGAGCCCAGAACTGCACACCGTACTCCAGTTGAGGCCTAACCAGTGCTGAGTGGAGGCACCATCACCTCCCATGTCTCTGCACCTACTGCTTCTATTGATGCATGCCAAAACTGCATTGGCCTTTTGTGTGGCTGTGTCACACTGCAGGCTCATATTGAGTTTGTGGGCATCAGAGACTCCCAAGTCCTTTTCCACAGAGCTGCCATCTAGCCAGGTGTCCACGTTGTGTATCTGAGCTTTCGATTGTACCTGCCAAGGTGTGGCACCTTGCATTTGTCCACAACAAACTTCATCCTGTTAGCTCTAGCCCAACTTGCCAGTCTATCGAGATCCTTCTGAATTGTGCTCACATTCTCCAGTATGTTCACAGTCCTTCCAAGTTTGGTGTCATCCACAAACTTACTCAAGAAGCTTCGTATGCCAGCATCTACATTGTTAATAAATAGGTTGAACAGCACCAGCCCTCGGGCAGAACCGTGTGGGACTCTACTCAAAACCTCCTGCCATTCTGACATGAACCTGTTAATAATTACCCTTTCCTTCTGGCTTTTGAGCCAGTTATCTATCCACCTTGTAGTAGTTTTATCCAGCCCACATTTCTCCTATTTGTTTATGACCAGGTTGTGTGAGACCTTGTCAAAAGCTTTGCTGAAGTCCAGTTATCAAAATCCACAGCATTCCTTTCATCCACCCAAGCAGTTACTGTGTCAAAGGAGATCAGGTTTGTTTGACACAATTTGTTTGTCATAAATCCATGCTGGCAGCTTGTGACCAGCCTTTCCTCCTCCAGATGCTTGTTCCATAGGATATACTACAGCAGCTCCCCAGGTATTGAGGTGAGACGAACCGGTCTGTAGTTCTCTGGATCCTCCTCCTTGCCTTTAAAAAAAAAAAGAAGAAAAAGAAAAAAAAGAGGAGCCCTACATTAGCCCTTTTCTAGTCCTTTGGTACCTGGTCTGTCTCCCATGACTTCATGAATATCATTGCTAAGGGCTCAGAAATCTCTGCTGCCAGTTCCCTTCCTAGGCTGGCAGAGGAGACTGCGTGGACCCTGCTGGGCTGGGGGGGGCACATGCCCGCCTCTTCTCCCTGATCCCTACCCCTGCTCCAGCCAAATGTACACACACACGCACCCACACGCTACTCTCACTCTGCACGTGGACACAGACACAAACACACACTCTATAATGAACACACACACAGACACACTTTCCCCTCAGGACCTCACCCCTCCCCCACTCGATCACATGGAGGCAGCCCTCCCTCCGCCCCACCACGAGCCACCTGCACCTTAATCTAGCTCCTCACCTGGCCCCTATTACACTTACCTGTAGGGAGCTGATGCCCAGCTGTCCCGTGTGGACACGCAGATACAGAAGGCCGGGCTGGGTGGCTGTGTCTGTGAGCAGGCAGCAGCACTGGGGGGGGTGGCTGTAGGGGAAGCTAAGATGAACTTTGGGGGGGCTATAAGAATGGAAAAGGAAAGCATACAGGCAAGAGAAGAATGGGCAGGTCACCAATGAAGCATACCAGGAAATAGCAAAAAACTGCAGTGACAAAAATCAGGAAGGCAAAGAACAAACCGTAAGGTTCCTATAGCCCCAAAGGCCTCCCAGCACCGCTGCCCACAAAGGCATGGTACAGCGCTCCTGGCCTGGCCCGGCCCGGCCCAAACTGCACCTCCTTCCACCAGGTAGGGTGCAGCTCTCCTGGCCCGACTTGCCCCCTCCCTGCAAGCACCATGCCACCAAGCCCACCCCCCTCCCCTCCGCTCCCCTCCCCCAGGCGCGGCGCAGCTCCCCCAGCCCAGCCCTGCCCTGCTCAGCCCCATTGGTGAAAGGGCCCTGCTTCCAGCTCCCAGGGAAGCAAATGCGAAAGCCACGGTTTAAACTTGGCACCATTTTTGTCTCCCTACCGGAAGACAAAAACAGGTGCCGAGTTTAAAACTGCAGCTTTCACTTCCCTGGTGATGAGGATCCTGGGGCCCTGAACTGGTAGAGACCCCTGGGCTTGTGCCCAGCTGACCCATCCATTAATCTGCCTATGCCCCTTTGTTATCTAGAAAATCTGTATTAGGTGTCTGGCTGCAGCTAATTTTTTTTTTTTTGTGAAGACTGAGGCAAAGTAGGTGTTGAGTAACTCTGCCTTTGCATCTTTGGTTAAGAGTTCCCCCTGGCTTGTTAACAGAGAAGCCACAGCTTCCTTGGTCCTCCTTTTTTGGCTAGCATACTTACAGACATCTTGTTGTCCTTCACTTCCTTTGCCAAGTGCTGATCATTCTGTCTTTGCCTTCCTGATTTTGTCCCTGCAGTTTCTTGCTATTTCCTGCTGTGCTTCGTCAGGGACCTGCCCATTCTTCTCTGGCCTGTATGCTTTCCTTTTGTATTTGAGGCATTTTAGAAGCTCCTTGTGAAGCCACACTGGGCTCTTGCCATTCTTTTTGTACTTCCATTGTGTCAAGACAGTTCCTTGTTGGGCTTCCAATACTGTGGCCTTTAGAAGCTCCCAGCACTCTTATCCTTCAATCTATCCTTCTTGAATTGGATAAATCTGCCTTTTTGAAACCCAGCATCCTAATTTTGTTAACCTCATGCTTTCCCTGTCTCGGCGTCTGGAATTCTATTATATTGTGATCACTTACTCCCAAGTTACCCATCACCTTCACATCCTCCACCAATTCTTCCCTGTGAGGACAAGATCCAGAATAAATGATCCCCTAGTTGTATCCTCCACACAATTTAGAATCGGATTGATAATTAATGTTTGGCTGCATTGTTCTACCTGCAGATGTCTGGAAAACTGGAGTCTCCCACCAGTACCATCCCACAGCTTTTGGATATATTTGTGACCTGCTTGAAGAGTGCCTCATCCACCTCCTCTTCCTGATTAGGTGATCTATAATAAATCTTCACCATTATATTGGTGCTGCATCTTTCACCTTTCATCTTCACCCAAATGCATTCTGCTTTGCTATCTTCTTCCTCCTGAACCAGGAACAAGTGTGTATGGGTTTTGGACATACAAGGCAACACCACCACTTTTTCTTGCAACCCTGTACTTCTGAAACAGAGTGTAACCCTCCATGTTTCATTCCAGTTAAAGAGTTGTCCCAATGGTAATGCCTATCTGATGATAGTTTGGGGTTTTTTTCCCCCAGAGGCTACAGCTTCCAGCTTGTCTTGTTTATTCCCCATATTTCTCACATTTGTATACATGCATTGGATGTATTTTGCATTTTGACTTCCTTGCTTCCCTTTTGCAACACTTGTTGCAGTCCTGTACCTCTCTGGTCCTTTCCCAAAGTTGAGATGATTCTTTGAGTCCTTTCCCCTCTGGACTGTGCTCTGCTGCTGGAGGGTTTTGATCACCATCCCCTGTTTAAAGACTTCCTTACTAGGTTGGCCAGATAATGCCCAAAGATGCTTTTCCCTGTTCTTGTAAGATGGATTCCTTTTCTAGATAGTAGTCCTCCTCCCAAGAACATGTGCCCATTGTGGAAGAAGCCAAAGCTTTCACGTCAACATCACCATGTCAGCCACACATTCACTTCCAGGATACAAGAGTTTCTGCCTGGATCCTTGCCTTCCACAAGAGAATCCATGAGAACACCATTTGTGCTCCATGCTCCTTAGTCTTCCTGCAAAGAGCCTCATAGCCACCTCTGATCTGCTCAGTGTAATTTCTGTCAGCATTGCTGGTGCCTACACGGACAAGCAGGAAGGGGTACTGGTCCAAAGGATGGATAAACTTTGGCAGTCTCTTTGTGATGTACTGACTTCGGGCTCCAGGCAGGCAGCACATCTCTTGGGGCCCCTAAATCTGGATGCCTCTGCCCCTCTGCAGAAGGGAGTCACCAACCATCTCTTCCTCGGTGTAGTCATCCTGGAGCCCGTCCTTGGGCCTTGCACTTCCTGCTCTCTAGGCTGCTGCCTCCTCTGCCGTGTGCCTGCAGATGTCCTCTT